TCGCCCATGATTATGAGTCGTTCTCTAGATGGAATATTTCTTATTGTGTCTTTAATAATGGAGTATACATTTCCCATATACTGGTAAAAAATCTATTGCGACCCATATATTTTGAAAAAAATGCAAGACTGGACATATGACCAGTATTCCAGTGGTAATTCAGACTGTTTAACTTAATTGTCAAAAAAAAATTAAATTCTGTTCTGCTTGAGTTACCTCTTTTCAAAAGGTAATCCTGAACATTCTCGAATGATTTAGTGCCAGTATTTCGAAAGCATTACTTTTTCCATATTTCTTCCTCCTTTCTATCGGCCTAAGTTATTTGTACGCCCAGATATGTGAGCTGTTTATTACTTCAAGATTTGCGTTATCTATTGTCAAATTTTGCAAGTTTCGTTGTTTCCTTGCTTGTATTAGGGCTTAATTTTTATCTATGTTGAGAGCGAGCACTATTTTTTTCGCATTTTCTTCAAGCTCCACATAAAGTTCTGGATGTCTCTTGAGGTTCGTCCCATCAAGTTTACATCATCTGAGTAAATCACAATCTGCTTAGACTTATTAAACAATAATTTTTTTGAGTTTACAGTTTTAGCCCCTGTACAGTTTTAGCCCCTGTAGTTATGCCGATCACTCTTACAGAGTGATCGGCATAATTCTCAAAGTCTTCTTCCTCCTCTTTATAAGCAATTCTGCTTGTTCATTGGCGGATTAATACCTCTATGGAAGGTTGTCACTCCATCTTTTGCACGGCCGTCCGATCCTTTTTCTGCAGATTGGTGACGTATCTCGGACGGCACGAGTCTCCTCCATTCTGCTCATGTGGTTATTCCATTCTTTTTTTCTATTTTGTGTTCATTCATTTATACATTGTATGTCACATTTTCTTCTAATATCTTCACTTCTCTTTCGATCTCTCAACATATTTCCTGTAATTCTTCTCAGTACTCCCATCTCTGCCGTTTCCAGTAGCCTCTGCGTTTTGGCTGTGTCGAATCTTGTTTCTGAGGCATATGTCATTATTGGTCTTACACTGGCTTTATAAATTCTTGACTTCATCTCCGTGTTAATGTGTCTGTTTCGCCATATAGTTTTGTGAAGACATCCTGTCAGTCTATTTGCTTGTTGTACTTGATCTCTCACTTCTTTGTCCAGGTATTCATAGCTAGACAGTGTAATTACCAGGCATTTTATTTCCATTACTTGTTCAATACTGATGCCACCAATTTCTATTTTACATTTGGTTGGTTCTTTGCTGACTACTATTGTTTTAGTTTTCTCAGATGATATTGTCATATTAAATTCTTTTGCTCTTATGTTAAATCTGTAGACCAGTCTTTGCAGACTATCTTCATCTTAGGCTATCAATATTGGATTGTTTTGGTGGTTTTGGTGATTCTAAAAGTGATTATAAAATTCTAATGCAAAAGCAAACAGATGACGGTATATATTTTATTATTTATTATTACAGAAACAGTGTATTCTGATATACTTCCCAGTTTGAGCTCATAATACAATACGGTAATAAAGTTTAGATACTGTATAAAATTTTTAGGTACCATAAACCGGGGTGAGAATAGTACAGGCTGGTGAGGTAACCATTGAATGCAGGGTTTTTTTAGGCCTCTCAAAGAAAGCTGGAGAACCGTTTTGGACGAATGGAAAAGCACACCTAAAGGGTTGAAATTACGATCACTGCCCAAATCACTTTTTCCCAGGTTAGTTGAAAAGTTGTTTGAAGCCCTGGAATCAACCCGTGTTGGAAGTTTTGAGAAGGTAGGCTGCGCCTACATTTTAAACCGCCGATCTTGGAATGCACATTCAAAATATTTCAACTGCATTTATGGGCGCACTTAATTCTTGATGACAGGAGATCATAGGTTCCAACAGACCTTCCAGGCGAGAAAAGAAAGTTAATGTTGAGGCAGGAAGAAGGATTACATTCGACGATTACGTTACAGCCAGAACTTCCGGATCTACAACCAAAAAGAAAATTCTGGATATATTAACAAAACGAAAAACCAAACAACCGCGTAGGAAAGAGCCCAATGATGAAGACAGTTCAGAAGATAGTGTCGATTTGCATGATATTCCATATACCGAAAGTGAGGATAGTTTCATTTGATGTCCTGATGGCATGGACAAGGAAATTGAAGCAGAAATTACGCTAAGAAGGACACGTTCACGAAATATTGCACCAATGCCAGCAGCGATTACTGATGCTACAGGACCGACTACAACCTTACGCACTGTGACTGCAGCTCATAAGTTCGTTCAAGAAGGAGAAAAAATAAGCTCAACCTGCTCTAACAAAAAAAAGTGATGTTGCTGTCAAATGGTGTCAAATTTTGATGAGATGGGAGAGGTTTCAGTGACAGCTACGAAGAAGAGTGATAAAATTTAGTATAAACTTAAACAAGTTGTGAGAATTTTTCAAAGTCCGAAGAAGGTATCTCCCAATAAATTCCTCGTTTACTATAAGAAATAAAAATTTGTGTTTTTAAATTTTATAGGTTAAAGGTTAAAGGTTTTTAAATAATTATAGGTTAAAGGTACCTACTCTTATTCAATATGTTAACTGTTTCAAATTATTTCTTTATTAAGTTTAATTCAAGTTTTTATCGTAGCAACAATTTTCTCAATTAAACAATGATTTTTTAACAAAATTTACTTATTTAACACACTTTTTATGTTTCCGTTTAACCCTGCTTTTCTTCTTGGTGGGTTTTCCATTTTTTTTTTTTTTATAAGCAGTAACAACTTGAGATGTGGGAATAGTACAGATTTATTTATAATGTTCCCGATCTATTACATACGAAAAAAAGGTGATGTACCCTTCTCACCACCTTCCTGGAGTGAGAATGGTACACACTAAAACAATTTATAGCAGCCCAAGGACTTAAATTTTTTTCTGAACTGGAATCGAAAGCTAAGATGATGAGCAGTATTGTGTAAAAAGTTCATTTTTCTTCGTAAAATAGCAAAGACGTTACTAACAAAAATGTCAAAATGTGTACCATTCTGTATATTCAATCTAAATGTTTTGGTAGTGCCGGATAGAGTGTAAATAAATATACGTTCTTGAGAATTTAAGTGTGAACTCGAAAATTCTATTAAAGAACTCAAAACAAATAAAAGTTTTGGATCTGTTCCAGTCTTTTATTGGACGGTTTCCCCTTATAGGGCTACTAAAGTGCTGGGTACATTGGTTATTCAATGTTTCTTTGTTATTTTAAACATTCTACTAGTAAGTGGTTGGCGGTTAGAGGCGTAACATATAGCTCACCCAATGGGCATAAACGTATGTGAATAAAGACCCTTTTTCTAAGACGATTATTAGCACTGGTTTTTCAGAGCAATATATTTACTTTTAACGTTCTTGGGTTTGATTGCGAGAGGAACCACCCACTCTACTTTAAAAAACGTTTTAAGGTCATTTGATATATCTTCAAGCCTTCCAGCACTTCTTCTACTTCCATACTCGTTGCTGCGTTAGGTGAACTTTTGCAACGAATGTTGATATGGGATGAGCTCCATGCTCTATACGATAATTGGGAAAATCTGTAAATCGGTTTTTATTGACTTCTCGACGAGTGGTTAAAATACAGATGCCAAATTGTAAGAAGACATTTTTGCATATTGTAAGAAGACAGATTTTGAAATATTTCAAAATCATCATCAGTGAAGATGTTTATACAGTTTAGGTAACACCTTTTAAGGATCTCGTTCAGTTTGTTTCTTATTAGTAAAACGGTGTTGTTTTCTTTGGAAAACCTTTTAAGGGGATGTTGCAATTAGGTATGTCTATCAACCACGGTGTTAGTTGTTGGGTGTTACAGTGAAATAGTTCACAGCTTGTAACGTATATATGTAGTATATGTATATGTATATGTATATGTATATGTATATGTATATGTATATGTATATGTATATGTATATGTATATGTATATGTATATGTATATGTATATGTATATGTATATGTATATGTATATGTATATGTATATGTATATGTATATGTATATGTATATGTATATGTATATGTATATGTATATGTATATGTATATGTATATGTATATGTATATGTATATGTACATCTGTGAAGAGTGAATTTTCTTTTACAACCGTGTGGCTTACATCGATAAAGAAATCATAATATTTCTATTATAATATACTTATAAAATATATTATTTCTTATTATAAACAAAAATATTTCCACTACACGGCCAAGAGACAACAATGGCCAGCTATATTATGAATTTTATATTACGGTATGATTGTTGATTTTGTATCTGTATTGAACTTCTGTATATGGATGAGTTTCAAGTTATTTTTCAATAACATCTATTAACGTAATACCAAAATTTCATTTTGTACCTCAAATAAAATAAAAATTAGATCATGTACGTCATTTACAGCTAAATAAAGAATTCAAATCCTCTTTTAAACTTTCTTGGAATATTGCCAGTTACTAATACAAGTAACATTTACTGTTACTGATTGCAATTTGTCTTAGGAATAATCTGCTTTAAATTTTTTTATTTATAATTTTAGTATTAAAAAATCAGTATTGCTTATATTATAGACAGAATGAGTAAAAATACTACAAAAAAAATCATTAAATATGTTTAATACTTAAAATTGTATCAATTATTCTTAAATTAATATCTATAATTAAATTAGGGATTTAGGGATTTGTATGTTCTGTAAAACTTAAATGTAGATTATCAGAAATACAAACTTACGTAAAAGTAGTTGCGTACAATTCAGGATGCTTATAATATTATTATGTATGCATTTGCCTTTTAAAATGTAAGATAAATATTCCGATTTAATACTTACAACCAGAAAAATAAGAATAACCATTACTAACAAAACTTATAATAAAAACTTCCTAAATTGGTGTAGGTTAAAACAATATTCGTAGTAACAGTTTCTTGAATAATTAACATTGGCATTCCTGCACAGTTACATTTTTTACTTGTCACATCTGACAGAACTGACCGTGAACCATAACTTTTTCCGATGTTGTCCGGTATTATGTTAGATTTTATTGTTTTTATGAATGTTTTCGACTGAATTAAAATAGTTTTAATACTTTACTTAAGTGTAGCTGTGTTTGTAAAATAAATCTTCAACATTTACTTCGTAAGTATTCTGCTTTATATCACTATTTCATATGCTTCGGCTCAGATGATGAAGTAAACAACCTAGGACTTGAAATCGATTATATTCCGACATTAACTATCCTGCTTTGAAATTCACTGAATTGTATTAAATATCATTTAAAACTCATAATACATAAGTACGTATGAGAGCTTATAAAATCGTGTAATCCAATATTGTTCCTCAAAGGAGATTGATTAATTGAGAGTTCACATAGTCATTGTTGGTGGTATCAGGTTAGAAAATTCCAAATTGAATCTTAAGTGTGGCCACTTCTTTAACATAAGTGAAGTCAAAAAAGTGTGCCAAACCAAAATAGTTTATGATATTGATTTCTTAGGGTTAATTCTTTTGTCTACCCTTTCAACATTTGATTCCAAATACATTTAATACAAAGAAAATAAGTTATATATTTGTAGCAGTTTAAGAATTAGTTTCTTTTATTTTTATATTTATTTTAAATATAACATAGAATACTAATTTGATGATTTTTCTTCAAAAATACATAAAAAATACAAGCTAAAGGTACTCCAATAAGTAGTGTAAGGTTAATAACTAATTTTTAATATTGTTGTATATAAATATATGTTTTATAAATGGTTTTTTTATACAACAATTAATTATGGCTGGGTTTTTAAACTATAATTAATGTTTTTATTCCAAATAATTCTACTGTATGCAGTTTTTATACAGTAAATTTAATAATAATTATTTTTCTAGAGTTCAAAAAAAGACAATGTGCATCTGCTATAGTTGGTAAGAAATTGAGTTGCTTCTTTGAAAGCTTTATTTAGTGGGTTCAAGTTTTTAAACCAAGGTTTAACCATTTTGATCCATTATTTAATTATTGATAAATTATCCCCATGTGTTCTTTATTTTCTTTATTTGTGCAATATCTGTTTTTGTTACTAAGTATTTGAATGGTCTTAATTGCTGTCTTTCTATATATTTTATGAATGCTTGTCTTTCTATATATTTTATGAATGCTTGAGCTCAGTATTCTTTTCTGATTAGGTCGTTGTTCAGGTTACACCAGTCTTTCAAGTATTTAATCTATGCTTGTATCTACTTATTGTTATGTATTATTCTTCCAAGTCTGTGTTGATTGGACTGTAGATTATCAATATCGACAGAGTAATAGATTCTGTACTAAAGATGCATATTCTAGGTGAGATCTTACAAATGAGTCATATATATTGTATCTGGATGAATTTGGTATCTGGATAACTTAATGGTATCTTGTTGTGAACTTAATGATTGATTAAGCAGGATATGAATTGCATATGGTTAATGAATAGATAAACAGGATACCCAAATCATGGCCAAAGCAACATGATATTAGGTATATTGGATCTGGATATAGAAGTTCCGATCTTTACATCAGTTTATAAGGTTGTTAATGGTGAATTGTCCTAGTTATTGTATTTCTATATGTATTTCGTGATAGCTTGAGCTTGCTGGTATTTCCTGTTTAGCTCATTGAATTTTTGTTCTTTTCAGGTTCCATTGATACTTCTAAAGGATATCATCATCTATTCTGTTTGTGTTTTATTTCCTTTTTACTGTGAAAATACTCATCTGTCATTAGCAGGAGTCAATATTAGGTTAAACATAAAGTTTTAATTATCTTAATTATCTTTATCAGGTCTACATTGTCCTCATCTTCTTATAGTTTAACCTTTACTCTTGAATATTGTAAGATGTCATACGACAATTATTTCAAGAAGGATACCTAGCCAAGTTGATATCTTTTTCTGGAAGAAAGCACTGCATTAGTAACCACTTTCTAGTTGGTTCCTAGAGATGATCCAAGAGCAGGTTCACCAAAAACAGCAGTCACTCAGGAAAACGACAGTGTCTTGTATAAGTTTATCTACGAAGACTGACATGTGACATATCTTAAAATAAAGGCGTCATTGGTGATTTCAAAGATCATAAATCGAACAATTTTGCAAGTTTTGTTTTTATCATTATATCCTGTTTCAAACTAGGAACCTAGGCTGTTCCAAACTAGGTTTCAAAAAGTGGATTTATATGACAAAAGTTATCTGCTTTCAAACTGTCTCCAAAAAAGTGGTCATAACATTTCTGTCAAAAGCAGGCCATATAGCAACAATTTCCCTATAAATCAAAGAACTATTACTGGCGATTAGTATACAATCATTTGTTAGTTGCAAGTCATCGTTGAGTTACGAAAAACCAATCATTGTTCACTAAAACACTCAAATTCACAGACAGTTCGCAAGACAATCAAATTTTGACAAAAAAAACATCAAATTGTTAAACCATTTTCCTGACAGCCCAACCTCAGTTCCAACTTTTTTTTACTTGTGAAAATTAAGGATAGACTATGGAGCCACAAGCTAAAAAAATAAGATGACTGACTGGCCAGAGTTGCTTTAAGCAAATGAAAAAATGCTTTTTCATTTGGCTCAATCTGCCAGTAATCTGTACCTAAATTGAAGCTCATTTTTTGTAGATCAGGTCTATCTGAATATATACCGGATATATAAGACAGCCATTATTTATTTTTATTTAGTTATTTATTTAACTTCCTTTAAAACACAAAATGATTGTTATTACATTATAAAAGAGTGCTTACTACTGCTAAAAACTAATTAGTTAACTATATTAAAAACTCAACCTACACAGAGTAAAACAAGTAAAAAACACTAAAAAAAACACTAAGTATACATCTAAATTAAATTTTAAGACAACAACTTTTGCATACTAGAAATTTATTTCAAAAGCAACTTTTATTTGTTTCACAGAACATTATTACATTCTTCTAACATCTTATTTATGGGGTGAACAATCAGGGTATTTTTGGAACATTAAATCTAATATTATTTATAAAAAAGCAATCTTTATATTTAATGTGATTTACAACATAGTAAATAAAAAGGGCTGAATGAAAATTTCTTCTATTATCCAGTCGCTGAACTTTAAAACAAGTTAAAATAGTATTATAGCAAATTATGTATGGATAGATACCAAACTTTCTGACATAAAAAACCTCAAGAATCATTTTTGAACCTTTTCAATCAGATCAACATTGAATTCAGCTTAAGGTGTCCATATAATAAAGACATACTCCAAGTGAGGTCTTACCAGTGCATTGTATGATGATATTGAGTTTCAAATCTTTTAAAAAATTTTGAATTACGAGTTATGAAGCCAAGAGTTCTGTATGCCTTTTCAATGATGATCTGATAATGTTCATTAAATCTCAAATTTTGCTGAAACATTACTCTAAGATCTTTGCAAGTGTTCTTTCTTCCAAGTACAGTACTAGAAATTTTCTATTGGTTCTCCATGTATTGTTTTTCTAGTGATAGTAAAAACATGACATTTAGAAGTGTTTAGAAACATTTTGTTATCATCAAACCATTGACTTACTGAGTTCAGATCACATTGCTGCATCTCAGAGTCCTGCAAGGTTGAAATTTCTCTAAAAATCTTAAAATCATTTGTAAATAGCAGGCTTGTTGAAAACTTCACACAGTAAGGCAAATCGTCAATAAATATAGCGGGAGGACCCAAGTTGCTACCTTGTGGTACACCTGATGTTGACATAAATGGCTTAGATAAACTGTTCCCCACTTGAACTTGATTTAACCTATCAGAGAGATATGACCTCATAAACATACATGCTTCTGAATCAAAATTAAATTTGCTAAGCTTTTCAATAAGTATAGAGTGATCAATCTTATCAAAAGCTTTGGTACAATTGGTAAAAATGACATCTAGCTGAGTTTTATTATTTATGGCCCCTGCTGCAAAACTTGTAAAAACGCACATATTTGACACAGTGGACTTCCCTGGTAAAAAGCTATGTTATTCTGGACAGAACCTATCTCCAAAGTAATTCAAAATATTGTTATAAAGCACATTCTCGAATATTTTAGCAATTTAATTGATGACAGATATAGGACTATAGTTCTCAATGTTACCAGCATTACCAGATTTTAATTTAGGTGTTATAACTGCATGCTATAAGCTATCTGGAAAGTTACTTGGTTTAAGGGACAAATTAAAAATTAGTATGAGAGGGACAGAAAGATTCTTTGCACAACCTTTAAAAATGTATGCTGGTATATTGTCATTACCTGTGGCTTTTTTTGGTTTTAGTCATTTAATGCTTTGGAGAACATTCTTAACTATTATTTTTGAAAAGTAAAACCCCCCTGATTCAGTGTACTTTTATTTTGATCTTTGAAATACAGAGCCAAAGTATTCTGCAAAAACATTGGCAATATCCTGATAACCACTTATGTCCACACCCCTATAAGAGACATCTGATGGAATTTTATTATTTACACCACAGGATTTTATAAAGGTCCAAAAACTACTAGGGTCAGTTTGTATATTATTCACAATATTTGCATTGTGATACATATATGCTTTTCTACTAAGCTGTTTCACCCCTCATCTCAGTGATTTATATTCAGCGAAAACCAAAGCATTTGTAGATTTATTTATCTGCCTATGAAGATGATTCTTACGTTTATATTATATACTGAACTGTATGTACAAACATGTGAAGGTGAAAATAGAAATGAATATTTTGAAGAAAATATGTCTAACAGGACTACAAAAATCTTTCAGTTAGTCAATTTCAGTCAATATTTACAGTTTGGTGGTATCCACTGCATGGTCGAAAAGCTTTAGAGTTGCTTAAAGATAGAAAGAGTATAAAATGAATAATAATAACTTCAAAATCGCTTTATGTGTAATTCAAAACATTATATTGAATGCATTCAAGTCTATAATTTAATGCAACATTAAACATAGTCTGACTAAAGTGAACATGTTATTTTTATAAGTAAAAGGTCATGTGAGGATAGAAGGTAATGATAATGTTGACCAGTTGGCTAAAGATGGATTCACAAATGGTGAGACTTTTCTTTATCTAGCCTATCATAGACTATTTACTTGAAAGGGTGAAAAATAATGTGTTATATGTAGTTGAGAAAAAAATG